TGCAAACCTAATGTCATCTAAGAGTTTCAGGTTGATGAAGAAGCTTGTCCACTTCAATAACTGCAGCAGGAAGGGGCACATCTTGAGGTCAAACGCAACTGCTTCATAAGGTACCATGAAGTAGTTGCCTAAGTGACTGGACTCTTCTATAATAAACTTACCTACTTATATTCTTATGTTACTATGGTTGATGTTTACAAGTTGCAAGATAAGTGGATATTTTGGAAAGTACACTTATTTGTTTTCTTGCCAATGTTTACATAAGGAATATGAAATTACACTTTTTGGTTACATACAGTGACTTACTGAAGTTGTTTTGGCACTATATTACGTGTGTGATATTTTGAGTGTCATAAGTTCTGTAAGACATATGTCTGATTGTTAATAATTTGAAAATAAATGTCCCTTCAACTTTATATTTGTATTTGTAATATTTTATGCACATATTTTTAGGAATATTTTTTACCATAGGTGGGCAATCAACCGTATATGGTAAATTCCTTGACTTTGATTTGTAACCTTAAACTAAAACTTTTCAAAAAAGTAAAAAAAGAAAAAATGTCTTCTTATATCCACCAATAACACTCCAGGGTTGAAGTATTTCAGTGAGTGCCCTATAAAGGGTTAAGAATAGAAATAATACTTTTAATAATTAATAATACAATATACAGAATAGATAGAATAGTATCTATAGGTATATACATAAGTAAAATAAATGGAATTATAATAAGAGCCTAAGAGATATAATAAGATAATAAGTAATATATAATATACAAAGTAAATGTAAACATATTCCACATGACCTTAATGTTTCCAAGGGGAATTTTTGTATTCTGCAGCACTACAGTAATTCATTATAATGCTGCTTTGTCACACATTTTACCTTCATCAAAACATTACATCTCTTGCGATTTACCATATTGCGATTTCGATAATATTTTGATTAATAACAATAATAGCTGTGCAGCCGTGGTTGTAATGGGGCAAACTCCATCTGCTGATGAAGATCTTATAGTACAATCAAAAGCTCCAATGGACCTGATGGTGAGATTGTTTTGTCAGCAAGTATATATTACATATAAGTAAGTATATAATATATAGATGATTTCAGTAAAGACACATCCCATTTACAAATTACGTCATTACAGTATTTATATTATGATTATACATCACATTATGTATTTTTCCAGATTTTTAAAAACATGTAAATAATATAATATATATAATATATACATGTATTTCATATACTAGTCCGCCATGTGTTGTATAATATATATTAGACACATTTTTTAATTTCATTTTATTTTGTAGGTCTCTGCGTTGCCTAGGAGACAGGAAGCCGCCCTTGGAAATGGACGAGGCTGGCAGCATCACCGTGTCATCTTCATCAGTGCGGAAAATGTCTCCTATGGTAGGTTTACTCAGGTCTGACTTATGTTTCGCATAATATTTATTAAACATATATAAAACTGCGCGTTAGACTGTAAGGTTGAGAATTAGGGCTCGACAGGAGGTCGACGACAGCCTCTTCTGCTCTCTAGCTTCTCTAGCGTTTAACGTGATTTACCTTTAATAGCAGGGTAGTTGTTGTCTGCTAACTAACTAAATTATATATGTTAAAGTTCTCAGACACCGAGGTGAAATGGTTAGATAGTGTATGAGAGGGTGTAAAAGCTCAGTTTAGCATCCAAATTTTGAAGTTTGTGATTATTCAGTATTAGCCATCATCAAAACCCTTTTTTATATATAACGTTAGAAAATACATAGAAAAACGTCAAGTTTCAAGTATAATTGGGTTATTCTTAAGCAGATGCATGTTTTTATGCATTAAGAACCACAACCCTAATCCAAAATCTACCAATTTCTATTAATTCACCCTTTATAGGGATTATAAAGTCTATATATTGTCAATATATTGTTTACTAAGGGTTATTAGATCAGTTATAAGTCATTTATAAGAACATCTGTTGGGTTGCCAGGTTGTGAAACATCTGTGTTTATTTACATGTATTTTTAGGCCTTAAATTAGTACAGTTTGATTAATAGATAAAGAACGATTGTGCTGGTGAGGCGGAGAAAACAACAGATGGTGGCTTATGACCCCAAAAATAAAATAAATGAAACAACAAAATAATTATAAAACACATGAGCGTAACACAGAGACAAAAATAGAAAGAAACTATAACCAATAATTACATGTAGTGGCAATAACATAAATACACATCCTTAAATGAATCACTGCAACTGGGCGTTGCATACAAATGTATTTTAAAACTATTAATAAACCCCTAAGTTACAACTTATAACCCCTTTATAAAGGGTACCTTATTAGAAAGTGGTACCATCCTGAGTACTCCTGATTAGTTTGACCACTCTAACCTAGTATTATGTCAGTAATACACTGACCCTAATTTGTTAAAGTCGGGCCAAGGTGTACTCTTACATCCTGTCTGCTGGTTCATGGAGGTTAATTGGATATAGAAGAAGAATAAAATCAGGGTTGGCAGCGCAGAGGGGCGAGCCTCATCCTGAAATGACAGTCAAACTGATATTCACAGACGTTTTAAGACACCTGGCTCACCTACAGTATATGTGATCAGTGTTAGACAAAGGCAGGTAAAACCGTCTTAGTTTAAAAGATCACAAACTCAATCACACCTTTCAAAGCACAAATGTGTCACCAGGGTCCTATTTTACAAACTCAGCGGACTTGAGAAGTTAAAACCATGTCTCCGGGTCCTCCTTCGAGCCCCGGCACACATTAATCACATGTCAACTTTAATCCACTTCCCCCCCATCGCAGGGGATCAGCCCTCCTCTGTCCACCGTCAAAGCTTAGCTTAGGATAGGTGAGACACAGGGCGACAGGCAGGATCGAGACGGCGTCACTTTTCCGCTCTCCCTCGCCAGGTAAACCTCCACCCTTCATCACCAATCTGCAGGGAGTAAAGGTAAAGGATCAACGCTCATGTATTATTTCTGCGTTTCCAGGCAGGCTAGAGCAGCATAGCCCTTAAAGTCGTTGATCTGTGAGAGGGATGTTACTGTGCTTGCAATGACCAACTGTTGGCCTGTGTGGGACTGTCAAGGTTCCTCGGTGAAGGAGAGGCCGGGCTCCCTGTGGACGATGAACCGCTACACCACGCTGAAGCAGCTGGGGGACGGCACGTATGGCAGCGTGCTACTGGGCAAGAGCAATGACACTGGGGAGCTGGTGGCCATAAAGAGGTGTGTGTGTGTGTAGCTCCAGTAAGCATGCTGTGTTGTTTTGTCTGGAAACTTTAAGCTGATTAAACCCTCTTAAAAGGCTCTAGACTCATAAATATGTTGCGTCCTCACAAGAAAAAGAAGAAGTGTTAGAATCAAAGGTTTTGCGTTAATGTGTAAGCAGTTTTGCAGGTTTAGGATCATTTTGAAGATCAACAGATGTAGTTTTACTATTTTTATTAGTGGTAGTATTATTACTATATATTGTGTTGTCATAATTTCCTTATTTGCCTATGTTTTAGACTAGGGAATGGTTACATTTAAACCAGACACTCAATAGATGCCTATGTTTTTTCAGCGTTATTAATTTTAGTGCCCTGACTGTAGACCACATTTTAAGGATGAGCTGTTTATGAACACTTCTTTGGCAAGAGATTAATAATGAATGCTCCACGAGGCTCCGCCAGGCACTGTTTGTAAATGTAAGGTTATAGTGCAAGCCGATACTACCGATGACAGTGAAAGGAGTGAAAGTACACCACATAGTGTTACCCCTGGAGTATGGGAAATGTAATATGAAAGTCTCCAGCGGTAAGAATGGGAGGTTAAAACAGGACGCACATGTAAGACATTTCAATTTAGAAGTAGCAGCGTTGAGCCGGATGCTGTTTTTACGATTATGAGTACAACCGTGATGCTTTTGGAGCCCATAATCACCATAAAGAAAGCTTTTACAGTAGCTTTTATACAGCGGTTTCCAACATGTGTATTGAATGAAAATTCTAATTACTGCACAATAATAAAAACAGGAGTAAACCAGGATTGTTTGTCAGATCTGTTTCCACAAAAAAACATCAATAAATCAGGTCAAGATGTAGTAGAATAGAGATAGTTTTATGTTAAACATCAATTTTTTGATTAACCTGAATAACAAGTGAGCCTGTAAAAGAGAGAAAAGCGTCCCAACCCTCTTAATTAATAAATATGTTTGTCTAAATGAAATTCTTCTCGCAGTGTATGTGTGAATAAAACTTTCTCAGAGTTGGCCACTATGCATGGTGGAAAGTTGTAAAACATGATGCTGTAAGGTATCTTTATTAGTTCCTGTTACTTAGTCTAATATAACAGTTGGACTACACAGTATAGATATTATAGCCTGATAAACAGATAATTATTGAGATTTAGAGGTCTGGGAGATCTTAAAATGTGAACATTAATACATATAGTTATGTAAATCTGTTTGTTTCTCTTGTCAACAGGATGAAGAGGAAGTTTTATTCTTGGGATGAGTGTTTGAATCTAAGAGAGGTGAAGGTGAGAGTCATTGTAGTCAGACAAGAAATCTCCACAAGTTGATACAGAATACAAGCAAATAGCCTATTTAGCAATATTTAGCTGTTAGGACAGCAAATTATGTCTAAAATGCCAGTTATAGTTTGTTTTTTAACTCATATTTGAGTGAAAAATCAAAGATTTCAGGCATTTTAGGTCATTTATTTACTTAATGAGTCGATTCTTAATCATGTTTATGATGATGATGTCTTAATAACGTTGTACGTGTCTCCTAAATACTTTGTGTTGTCAGTCACTGAAGAAGCTGAACCATACCAATGTGGTGAAACTGAAGGAAGTCATCAGAGAAAATGACTACCTCTACTTTGTCTTTGAGTATATGAAAGAAAACCTCTATCAGCTCATGAAAGAAAGGTGAGAACGCACATTTATTGACAGGCCTTTGAGCAGCAGCTGTGTACACCGAGTTATTTCTGTGATATTATGCTGCAGTGTGTCTTTGTCACCATTGGGAATGTGAGAATTATTTGGGTCAGATTGAGTCATCATGTGTCGGTCTTCGTTTTTACAGAAACAAGTTGTTCCCTGAGTCAGTCGTCAGAAACATGACATTTCAGATATTACAGGGACTGTCCTTTATTCATAAACATGGTAGGTGACTACAGACTGAAGAAAAAACTGAACTCTGCTTTCTTTTCTATCTTCTATCTCATAAAATGCTGTGTTATCATGCCGCCCGCTCTGTCTCGGGATAAAGAGGTCGTAAATGAGCAAACAGAAAACATAAACTTGAGAAGTGTACGAACGCTGGACGGCTGATAAGACATTAGGCATCACAGCCAAAAATGACTCACTTCTCCTGTTTCCTCAGTGAGAAGAGGAGGTGTGAGTGGTACCACAGCTTAGCTGAACAAGTTTTTCTTCTCAGGAAAAATAAAAATCAGCATGTTTTTTTTAGTGCTTGTGGGTGCTAGTGTCATTCCCACTTCAATAAGGCATGATTGTTTGCATAGTGTTTTTTTCTTTATCCCCTCTTTCTTTCTTTTGTCTTTTACCGCTTTGCCGCTGCCAGGGAAGATAAGATGTTTTCTGAAAATGAGATAAGGAACATTCTGTTCCAAGTATTGTCTGGCTTAGCATTTGTGCATAAGCACGGTAAGAGACTCCTCCTGTCTTTCTCTTTTCCTTTAAATTTCCTTAAAGGCTTGGCTTGACTGTGCTTAAAACATCTCTATTTTTGTCAGAGATGTTTTAACTCTGTGTTTCAGGAAGAAAAAAATATCAAACCAAACATCAAATTGGGACGTGCATCAGTAGAGAGTTTTGTCGTTATGAGTAGTTCAGTGGTGGTGGTTGTTCCAGTAGCAGAAACTTAAAGAGAATAATGCAAATCTAGCATCAGCGCAGGTTTATTTGACTGTCTCGTGTTTTTCAGGGTATTTCCATCGTGATATGAAACCGGAGAACTTGCTCTGCATGGGCCCCGAGCTGGTTAAGATTGCTGATTTTGGACTAGCCAGAGAAATCCGCTCACAGCCACCTTACACTGACTATGTGTCCACAAGATGGTGAGACTCATTTATTTACAGTATCAGAGCAATGCAAAAGTACTTCTTGTAGTTGAAACAACATCTGATGGATGTGGTCGGTCTGTAGTCCGAAGTAGCACGTAACTCCAAGGTCCAGTGTGTAGGATTTAGTGGCATCTAGTGGTGTAGTTGTAGATTGCAACTCCCTCACTTCACCCTCCCCTTCCAAGCATGTAGGAGAAACTACGGTGGCCTTATCTAGTAGCCAGCATTTGGTTTGTCCCTTCTGGGCTACTGTAGAAACATGGCAGCTCAACATGGCAGCCTCCACAGAAGGCGACCCACAGCATCTGTAGATAAAAACATCTCATTCTAAGGTAACAACAACATAACGATTGTTATTTTCAGGTGATTATACACTAATGAAAACATACCTATATTATATTCAATTTCTGCCTATAGAGCCTCGTAAATGATACACAGTGGACCTTTAAAAAGACTCTTAGATTAAATTTATACCAACTAGAGAAAAGCAAATCTGTTCAGTCGATAGAAAGAAGAGGACAAACTTTGACTTTAATTTACTACTTATAAATACAAATATTAGAAATGTATCAATCAAAAATATGTAAAAGTGTTTTTTCCTAAAAAATTGGATTACCCAAATTAAAAAAGCGAAAAAAATATTTTCTCACTCATATCTTTTAACTAGGCAGATAACTTTAAAGTGGAGCTGAACAGGATTTTGCTTGTGGTGCTGAGTAGAGGTGTTTGCTTGTCAGTCATGACTTGGCTATCCTGGGGGGAAAAAATAGGCGAGCAGCGGCACACTGCTGGGAAGCAGCAGGGTCCCGTTTCAGGGCTAATAAATGATCTGATATCGGACTGATGCAGAGACACGCATACTTGTCGATACCCGATGCCACATTTGAGTCAATATTGGATATTTTATCAATAAAATAACAATAGTTCCAATTGAATTGTTCATGGGTAGGTCTGTAGATCATCCAGAGCAAGCAGTACATGGTTTCTGGAAAAAGACGCCACTGTTGAATTCTTTAAATGCAGTTTATAAATGTTGTGAGCATCATAAACAAAGCAAACACTCACTTCCATTTTATTGGAGTAAAAGCAGATATCTCAGAT